TATGGCAATAGTTACTTTTAACGTACAAAAGGATTATAAAAGCAATCTGTGCGTGGGTGCTCACTAGGTAGCCACACTGAACAGGTAAGAAGGCATCTGGTTTTAAGTAATTCCTGCATTACAGAGAGAAAAGAATTTTTGTCCAAGAAATATACACTGGATATAAAATGGTGTCCTTCAGAGAAGATTAGTAAAGCTTGGAGGAACAAGGCATCCCAGGGTTGCTGTGGACTTGCCCTTTGTCACATTTCCAGTCTCAATGCTCCTAATTCAGCTTTCACAACAGTGAACCGTTGATGGTTCTCTGAACAAAACACATTAATCCATAACACCCTTTCAGCCTTTGAATGTCTCTCTCTACCCTCAAGTCTCTGTTGAGTCTCCATTGCAGTTCACATTCCTAACCCATGTAAAGTTCCTCAGGTGACGCTGCTGTCACTATCATCATCAAACACTTCATCTGAGCCAGATGGCTGTTCTAACTCCAAGAAATTTGATATCAACTCAATTCCTCTTTACAACAATCCTATGAAGAAGTATGAATGATATGCCCATTTTATATTTAAGAGACTGAAGCATATAAAGCCTACAGAAGAAAACATTATGGGACAGTAATAAAGCTAATATTTGAGCTGAAGCAGGCTGGAAGCTTCCAGCATCTATGCTCTAATTACTAGGCCACGCAGCCTCTGTGTGATTAAAAGGAGATGGATCCTAGGTACTGTTATATACACAAGGCTCTTGACTGTCTTGTTCAGCATTTATGTTCAAGGAGCTTCTGGGGCTGGAGATGTATATATGATGGCACATTAACCCAAAACATACAAAGTCTGTTCTAGAAACATCTTTTTTGAAACAATCTTTACACAAATATAGAGCTGTAACTGGCACACCTAAAATGTGTTAGGATTTACCATTCCTATGATAAGAAAAGTGTCTTAGAGTCTAATGAAAACCCTTGGCAATTTGAATATTATATGATACTAAATTATACTATAATTATTTCAAAGGTCAAGAATCTTAAACATTTAGTCTTAAAACTCTCCACCTGGCTGATGCAATCAGAAAATTAAAGAATGTATGAAAATACTTAATTATACAAAACAAGTAGAATCTACCTATTTAATAACCTTTAAATAAAAGGTACGATATTTCCCAACATGGTATTCTTTTTTCTTCTATTGCACAAAAGGAACTTTTTAAAATAACATTTTTTTTTTAATGAATTTGAGTACACATTTTCTTTTCTAGTGCTAGTTTCAAGGAAGAATAGGATAAAGGTGTGTGAAATAAAACACTATCACTTATTAACTGGTGGGAAACCATGAAGCTACTGTCCTGGGCACCACCATTTAAAAAAAGAAAAGAAACAGACTCAGGTGAGTCCAGCCTCCTAAAGAATTTGCAGTCTGGTGGAAAGGAAAACAAGCACAGGGCAAAAGCGTGTAAATTCCTTTCAAAGTTTTAGTAAGAAAGGCTTCTAGAAGGCACATGTATAAGAAGATCCTTGCCTAACCCCTAGGTGACCCAGTCACAATCCAGTGGTGGTGGACCAGTGGTGGAGTGACCAGTAATTACCTTTACCTCAGGGAAATTTAGTAAGGCAAAATACCAGTGCTTAAGAGCATAGACGGTGGAGCCAGAACGTCTAGGGTTCAATCTCATCTCTACTATATACCAATTGATGTCAGTGGGTTCACTTGGCCTGTCTTTTATAAATGAGAAAACTGAGGCCCAATTAGATAATTACATAGAGTCGACTGACTTACAGTGCTTTGGGGAGGGTAAAATGAGATCATGTGAGTGAAGGAGGAACACAGAATGAGTTAACTGATGAATCAACATAGCTTAAGAAGAGATTGGATGGTGCACATTCCTAGTTGCACCCAGGCTGTACCTAACCCACAGTTTCATCTTACGAGATGTCGCCAACATGCTGGCTCAGTTATGGGGCTGGGTCAGTCTTTAGCTCTGTGTAAGCAAGAGGTGCATATCTTTCAGTTTTTCCAAACTTGGTCAGCAAAGAGGCCCTTCCTTCTCTTAATGAAGCAAAATAAAATAGTTAATTCCATCATCTTAGCCAGAAAAATGCCTACTTGTCACTTTTATGGGCAACACAAAAATAACCACAAGCACCATTTGTACAGAAAAAAAACACACTGTCAAACTATGATTAGCTGATTTTGAAGCTTACAATGGATATTACTTTGCTATTCATTTGCTCATTTTACTGTAAGAGGAACAGGCATCGACAATAAAAACTGTTAAGAAAATGTGAAACAAAAACCAAACTGAGAAAACTATTAAACCTCTCCTTTTTTTTTGAAATAACTTTTATCCATTTCTCTTCATGTCCTAAATCAAGCCTGTTCAAGACTGACTGTTCTGACATACAGACCTCCTGAAATCCAGATACTATCCCTGTTCAACAAAACCATTCCTGCCATTGCCCTGTCCCAACTCAGCACGTATTAAATTTCTGCTCAACCAGGAATCACATATTCTGTAGAGCAAGAAACCTGCCTGAAGCAAAGCAGTTTTGCTGTGAGGACAGCATCACAGAATCTTGGAACCCAACCTAACTTGGAAGATCTCTACTCCAAACCATTTTATAGAAAAAGCAGCTCCAGAGAAACCCGAATAACCCAGAGAGCTGGTGGCCGAGCTCGCAACTTTTGTACTTTCACTTGCCATCTACCAGTTCTGTCCTTTTTTGTTGAACTACAGCACATCGCCAGAGAAGAAATTTTAACTTCAAAACTGAAAAGTCAGGGCCCAACTTTAAAAAGCATCAAAAAGCATAAGAACATCTAATTTGGAGAATATATGAACCGGGACAAGGAAATATCCATCTAGATTTGAGCAGTTACAACAAAAGGAAGATAGAGTTGGCTAAATTCTATAGCCTCACAGCCAAGTTCTGGATAGGACATTGTATGATGTATTTAGACCTCTTCATTTGTATTTCATATTACTTGTACCCCCAGTCCAATCTGGAAAAGATTTTTTGATAGAGCAGGATTATCCTTAATCCTTATCTCCCTCACATACTCACAGGACTGAGTGAGGAAGAGGAGGAGATAAACAGGGAAAGTACAACTCTTTCAATACTACTGATTTTCTTCCTTGTTTGTATGTTACTTAGGAAGCTGCACTCCTAGGGCACCTGGGTGGCTCCACTGGTTAAGCATCTGACTCTTGATTTCAGCTCAGGTCATGATCTCAGAATTGAGGGACTGAACCCCACATCCGGCTCCGTGTTGGGCATGGAGCCTGTTTAAGATTCTTTCTTTCTCTCTGCCCCTCCCTCCACTCACACACGCTCTAATAAATAAAAATCTTAAAAAAAAAAACAAAACAAAACCCTGCATTCTTCTATCAGAAATAACTTCAGACACGATTTTAAAAATAAGCAAATAACGGAAAAATTTTTAAAAATTCTGGAAGCTATCTCGAGTTGGATGTATATGCACCTTTCAGGTTGGATTGAGAGACCGTTCTTTAAAATAAGTAAATATCAAATGGCAAATAAAAGGTTAAGGCTGTGATAAGTAAATTCAAATGTATAAAACAAGTAGATTTCAATTATTTCACCCAATCACCTAGAAGCAAAGATACTCTAAAGAAAATTGCATTGCCTTCCCAACTCCTTGGAGAGCCAGTTTAGTTAACAGCCTACCTCTGCTTCAGAGATGACCATACAGCTTACATGTCAAACTCATTTTAAAGTGTCAATCATGTCCCTTTCAATCTAATTAGTTTGGAAAGTAGTGTCACTGACCTGGAACTATGCAGACCATTTATTACCATATCATTTGATCAACCTAACACTCTACCTCAGTTGAGTTTGAGACACCTGTAGCCAAAACGTAATATCCTTTCTCCCACTCATTCTTGGTAACTCTCAATACAATTTCCTATTTACAACTCAATATATCTCTATGAATAAGCATGGCCAACTTCACAGAAGCATCGACAGATTTTTCCTTATTTAAGATTTCATGGTAATTAAAATTGAAAGGTAAGGGGAATAAGGAAAAAAATCAGATATACCTGAACCAGAGGAGGAAATATCTATCTACATCTATATTTAAGAAACAGACTTGAGTTATTTGATCCCAAGAACGGCTAAAGGAGAGGAAAAAGGAAGAACAGAGGAACATGGATAGGCTGGCAGAAATCTGGGACCTTACATATGGTAGGGAGACTATTCTTTTTTAAAAAATACATAATATGGCAAGCTATTTTTGTAAGACGAGTCTGTGGGTTGTAAACTCATTGTCATCAGATGGGTTTATGTTATACTGAAGAAAATCTCTACCTGGTTTAGAGTATTTAACCTGGCCAAGGGGAGGATGAAGCAGAAGACATAATAACTGGCTCCTGAGAGGTCAGGGAATGCCCACATAGCTGCACAGGAGAAACTACAGGCCAAAGCACAGTGAGCAGGGAATGAGGTAGGGCCAGAGGGGGTGGCAGTACTGGTGGCTAGAAGATGCTAGCCAGTGAAGCCAGAGATCCCCTGGCCCACTCCCTGGCAGGGATATTAAAAAAAAAAAAAAAAAAAAAAAAAAATCACCGAATCTTTTTCTCTTTTTAGTTTTGCATTTTTAAGAACTGATTTGCAAGACAAAAATCTAAGCAGGTAATCTTATCACTGAACCACATAATAACACATGAATCAGGGACAGACAAAATACATGCATCCACCACTAGCATGTTGCATTTGTATTTTTAAATGTGGTACGAGAAACAGCTAAGTGTATCAATTCTATTTAAAGTAATGACTCTTCACTCTAGAAGAATCTAGAGCAGGATGTCAGCTGCTGGCACTTCCCTTCCTAGCCTGGGTTTCCCTTTGGAGAGGTTGCATTTTACCAAAATTCCCATTGTCTGAAAGATAAGCAAGTTTCCTCATTCATGTTTGCTTGATCAAGTAGTTATTGGTGAATATGACTTTGTATCTGTTCAAATAAAATAAGCATACATCTCAAACTTACCTTCAGGTGAAGAGCCTGTCTTTTGGGAAAAGACAGCATTTACTTTACTCTTCTTACTGATATCGCTGTTTACAGACAAGCTGGACTGAATTTTTCTATGCATTTTGTGAGAAACAGGTGCTGAAAGTCTTCGATTATCTGCAGATACGTGTTTGGCCCCCTGGTGAATTCCATTCCCATTGCTCAGACTTGTGTGGCCGTTCTTTATCTTGCTGGTTTCCTCCTCGCTTGGTTCCTGTGAGCATGTCGGAAGCTGAGGCAAGCGCTGGGGTTGGGCTAGACGACAGGAAAAGTTTCTCCAGTTAAAAAAGAAATATTTGAAAATCGTCAACATATATTCAGTCACAGACTTTTTTTTTCTGGGCTTTACACCCATGATTCTACAAAATAGAAAGAAAGAAGTAAAATATTAATAAATATGGACAGAGAGAAAACAATTAGTAAAAAAACGAAAGTGGGAGCGGGGTCATCAAAAGTGGCTTTATACAACGAATTTGAATATAACGAGAAAGACTGTTTTGTGTTTTAAGAAAATTTAAGTTGGAAATCTGAAAAGGTCATTCCACACTCATTCAACGGCAAGTGTTTATTTTCTATGTACTGGGTCCCTCTTTTGTGTGCTAGAAACAGAGCAATATTTTCTTACTATCCCTGATAATGGGATGAAATACTTAATCATCTTTTTGGATAAAAGGAAAAGAACAATGAATCCAAGTATCAAAACTGAACAATACAGAAAGACAGTTGTTTTCAGTTTCATTTTATTTTAATTTTTAAAAAAGTTTTATTTATTTAAGTAATTTCTAGACCCAATAAGGGGCTCCAACTCATGACCCCAAGATCAAGAGTTGCATGCTCTTCTGACTGAGGCCAGCCAGGCACCCCTTCAATTTCACTTTAAATCCCGGAGGAAAAAAATAAATAAAAATAAATAAACAAATCCCGGAGAAAACCTTTTCTGTATTTATTTTTTTAATTTGGTACCATAAACCATTATGAAAAGTTGGTAATAGAAGAGAGCTTCCTCTTAATCTGATAAAACAAATCTGCCAGAATTAAATGTCAGCACTTTAGAAATGTCCCCATTTAGGTCAGGACCAAGAAAAAGCAGCCCAGCTTCATCCCTCTTATTTGACATTACACTGGAGGTCCTGGCGATAGCAATATAACATGAAAAAGAAACAAAAGGTCTGAGAAAAAATATTTTTGAGATGTACCTAATTTGAAGGTTCTCAGGGAAATTTAGACTACAAATTGTGAAATAAGAATTAAATAAGGGATCCCTGGGTGGCGCAGCGGTTTGGCGCCTGCCTTTGGCCCAGGGCGAGATCCTGGAGACCCAGGATCAAATCCCACGTCGGGCTCCCGGTGCATGGAGCCTGCTTCTCCCTCTGACTGTGTCTCTGCCTCTCTCTCTCTCTCTGTGACTATCATAAATAAATAAAAATTTAAAAAAAGAATTAAATAAGATATATACAAGATCAACCATATTAAAATCAACAAAGTTCCTTTATGCCAACAGTCACCAAGCAGCAAATAAGAAAAAAATGAACTCTTCACAACATAAAGGAAAAAAAGAAAAAAATAAGCCACCAAAACCCTCCCATAAGTATCTAAGAATTAAGCTAGGACAAAATGGGCAGAGATTTTTATGGCAAAAACCACAGAACAAAACTCAAGGACATAAAATCCTACCAAATGTAAATTTTAATTCTACCCAATTTATTTATTTAGTGTAATTCCCATAAAATTTCCAACAGGCTTTTACATGGAACTCGAGCAGCTGATCCAAAAATTTATAAGGAAGAGCAACCAAGAATCACTAAAGCAATTTTAAGAAAGAAAAAGAGGGTTACGACACTTCCCTTAGTGCATAGTCTTCTTCAGAAACTACAGGAACTAAGGCCAAGTGATGTTGGTCCAGGCACAGTCAGATAACCAGGGGAAAAGCAGAGAGAGCTCCACAGATGTGTGTGTGTGTGTGTGTGCACATACAAGTGCATACACACCTTATAGAAATAAATTACAGATGGATTAAATGCCTATATATGAAAAGCAAAACATTCCAGATTGAACAAATATGAGGGGTGCCTGGGTGGCACAGTTGGCTAAGCACCCGACTCTTAAAAGTTTCAGCTCAGGTCATGATCCCAGAGTCCTGAGATCAGCTCCTCAGGCTCCCTGCTCAGGCAGGAGTCTGCTTCTCCCTCTGCCCCTCTCCCTACTTATGCTCTCAGAAGCTTGTACACACACTCTTTCTCTCTTTTTTCAAATATATCAATAAAATCTTTAAAAGAAAACATAAGAGGCTTAATACCATGACACTGAGGAGAGACAAATTTGATTCTTTGGACAAAGAATCATAAAAAAAGTAGGATGACTATTCATCATTTGTGCTGCCTGGCATTTCTGAACACCCTCGCAGATTTTGTCAATTCCTCTGCAGCTAGAGGGCAGGTATGCGACCTAAGTCCTACCGCGCACAAGTATGACTTCCACGCAGTCACACCAGGGAGGCGGTACCTCCTTCTCAGCAGACAGTAAAGAAGGTGTTTACTGGTCCTGGCAGTGGGGTGCGGTGTCCGATATCCACTCCCTAGTAGACCGTGTGCTAATGGTACAGCAGTGGGGTTTTCTTTCTTTCTTTCTTTCTTTCTTTCTTTCTTTCTTTCTTTCTTTCTTTCTTTCTTTCTTTCTCTTTCTTTCTTTCCTTTCTTTCTTTCTTTCTTTTTTTTTTTTTTTTTAAAGCAGTGGGGTTTTCAACAGAGAAGCCTCAATGAATGGATGGGAATGATCCTTGGCTGTGTAACTGTTGGGAGAGTCTGTGTGCGAATCAATTTTTTTTTTTCTCTATTTCAGTTAGCCAAAATGGATTCTGTTTTTTGCAGCTAAAGAATCCTGACTCCTCTCCCCCCAGCCCCAAATGTTATTTGTTTACATTGGTTAAGTAATGAGATTATTCAAATCAACATTTACATTCATTGAGTAGCTCCTAAGCAAAGCTATCAATCATAGCAGTTGGGCAAAAAACAGAAAGAACCAAAACCATTCATTGCCAAAATTTAACTATTTTGTAATTTCCTGGATTTTCAAAATCAAAAACTGCTGTTCTAATTGGTCTTCTTTCCCATTTATGATTATGAACAGTTATGAAATATAAATTAAATCTGAATGCTAGTAAGTCTTCAATTTAGAAAAGGTATTGCATGCAAAGCTTAGCAATTATACGTGGCATTGACAATGTCTAAAAGGGCCTGATTATCTGTGATCTGGGGATTAGCTAAAACGGTATATATTTTTGACAAAGACGACAGTTGGCAGTTGAGTAAGTCTTTAGCACACATTGTTTACTTCAATTCTTGTTCACATATCCTATGTCTCTTAAAGAAAAATATCTTAACATATCAAAACAGTCCATTCATGAATGTGCATATTTCAAGAAAAAAAATCACGTACTTAACAAAAGCATGCTTTCCTACCAAATCTGTTAACATTAATATCTGATTTGTTAACTAGCCTATGAACTCCTCATACAGTTTTTCAGTTCTTCAGCGATAAAGGAGGATGATTATCTAAAAATTAAATATTTGGGACTACTACAAAGTAATGGTGGGAAAATATATCAAAATATTTTGTTTTTTTTTACTCTTTTTTTTTAATTTTTTTTATTTATTTATGATAGTCACACACACACACACACACACACACACACAGAGAGAGAGAGAGAGGCAGAGAGATAGGCAGAGGGAGAAGCAGGCTCCATGCACTGGGAGCCCGATGTGGGATTCGATCCTGGGTCTCCAGGATCGCGCCCTGGGCCAAAGGCAGGCGCTAAACCGCTGCGCCACCCAGGGATCCCTTTTTTCTTTACTCTTGATGGAAAACAAAAACGGTCACTTCTCTGTTTAGCAGCTACATATGACCTTCTCGTAACAAAAATGGACAAGGAATCTGCAGAAGGAGACCTATTTCTTATGGGTGTGCAATCATTTGATCTAGAGATTAATCTGCTGCTCCTGTAGCTTCTTGTATCAACTAGAATGACATCCTAATGACTGCTATTGAACATAGAGAGTTATGCATATGTATTTAAAGGGATGCCAAAGAAGACAGTTAAACCTAATTTGATGTTCTTTTCAGAGCACTTACCAGTAATCTCGCCAAATAAATGGAATGTTTTGGGCCACTTTTTCTCTGAAAAGAATATTTCAAGCAATCAGAGAGCTTGGTTAAAGTGAAATGTCCAACTGACCAATGCTAAGGAGACTTCTTATCAATCAAAAATGCCCTGTCATAGTCCATAATCCAAGATAAATTTAAAATTACTATGTCATGGTTAAACATTTTCAATAAATAAAAATAAAGGTGGTAAAAGACAACTATGTCCTGCCACCAAATTCTCAAACTGACAGATCTGACCTTTTTCTACTATCAAAATTGACTATTTGCAAATTACCGGGTATGGCTTGAGTGGTATTCAAACATATCCTTAATGATTTATCTACACTTCAATCTTCAAAATGATATCTATTTCTGTTGGCAGATAAATGATAGTACATTTATTTTTGTTTCACTGTCACTTAATTATTTCTACTATAGTTTGTACGATGGTCAGGTAACAACCAAGTATTAGCTCTTTACATCAGGTTTTTAACATTAACACAATTTCTTAGTTTTATGATTTGGTCAGATACATGCAGTATGTAAGTCAAATGAAAACTGGATAAACCCTTGACGTGTTAGCTAGCTTAACATTTATTTTAACTTCACTGCTAATTTTTCATGGGTGTGACTTGAATCTTTTGGTAAAATTATAAGTAAAACCAAGTTGGAAACATGATTTTATTCTCAAATAAAGAACAAAAACATCTCACTGATTAAACCCTAACTACTTGGCTTTAAACAGATTTCTTTCCCTTACTGTGTAAAAGTTGTGTATGGCTTTAAAAAAAAAAAAAAGCACACTAATATGGGAACGACACAATGCTTCTTAAAACACCAGTGATGCCTAGGGACCCTCACTCTCCCTTTAATGATCCACTGCTCTCATTCAGCTGTCTTTCTTTTTTCAAATCTTTACATATGTGACAGCTCTCAAAAGTAGACCATAGACCATCTGGCATTTTCAGAGGTGTAACTTGTGCAAATTCAGCTCTATTGGGAGCACACTGCTATCTTCTGCCTGCGTTATAAAGGGACAATAGAATGTAGAACTTATGAGTTGTTTTGAATTATTCATTTTTTTGCCTGTATATTCAAGAAATTTTACAAACTCT